TGTGTGTGTGTGTGTGTGTGTGTGTGTGTGTGTGTGTGTGTGTGTGTGTGTGTGTGAAGCGTGTGTAAGAGGAAATGAGTAATTTGGCGGTGGTCTGGCTGTGCGTGAGAAAGCAGAGAGTTTCAGAAGCTTTCTTCATGTGTGTGGGGGTTAAGCCACAAGTACCTCTGCCAGTGTTGGGAAATAACAATGTACGGGTATGTCCCCAAAGAAATCGGCGGTGGGAGCCAGGGTCGGCGAGTGCCATAAATCTTGGTTTTCTTTTGCCCGCGCGTGAAAGAAAAAGGGAAAAAAAAAAAAAAGGCTTATGTAGTGCAATGATCACAGCCCGAGCAGATCACGGATTCAGATTGTCAGATTCCAGGGAAAAAAAAAAAAAAAAAAAGAAACGGAAACACGGATTCGGCCGTGAAAATGGCTGGATACATCAGGGTTACAATCCTCTGAGGAAACACAGCCAGCACAGATCACGGATTCCGCCCTGCCTCGTTGGCAGGGGGACTCATAATAAACAAACGAGAAATTAAAAAAAAAGAAAACAACAAGTTCATCACACTGGCACTTAGGGCCTCGCCACACCACTCTCGAATCTCGAAAATTCGTGAGCCGGGCACCGCCACACAGCATCGCTTGAAAAAAGAACTCGGAACTGTTCGAGAGCTGTCAGAAAGGCATTTTCGAGTGCCTTCTCGAAACGATGTTTTCGCCCAGCCTGCAGCGTTGGAGTTTTCGTGATACCGTCCGTCCGCGCTCGAGTTCGACGTCCGTTTCGAGAGTTGTTAGGCCGTTTTCTCGGGCCGCGGATAGCATCCACGCTCGAGAGGAATTTTCGAGAGGCCGGTCTAGTGTGCTATGTGGCGAAGGGCCATTTTCTCTCGAAAACCGGCCTCTCGAAAAATCCTGACAGCCCTCGAATATTTTCGAGATTCGAGAGTGGTGTGGCGAGGCCCCTAGAGGAACGTATCCAGCCATTTTCACGGCCGAATACGTGTTTCTGTTTTTTTTTTTTTGTGTGTGTGTTTGGAATCTGACAACCTGGCTACGGGGCTGAGACGCCCTCACTGAGGGCACACTCACACTAACACTTCCGAGAATGTATACAGCTGCAATCACGCCCAGAGCTTTGTTTCGTTTTCTTGTTTTGTGAGCTTTCACGGCCGCAACTTTTTTTTTTTTTTTTT